TTCCATCGTTTTTCTTGTCAAGATCCTACGAAGTGTGGAGTGATTCCAGAAAAATGAATTGTTCTTCCTCATTTCGTCCCTCATTTTGTTCTTGCTCATCTCGTAGTTCAAGTTTTTTTGTTATTTTCTCATTTAGTCTAAACTAGTTATTTTCATTTTTTTCGATACAGTTCAAAAACTGTATTTTTAACGGATGCGAAAATGGTTTTTTTGTTGAATATTATTTTTATATTCTTCATATGTGTTTAAAAGTGAATCCATTCAGGAAATGTTCCAATAGCATAATTCCGTTCTTCTTCCTTTGTAAATACAAAATTATACATGTTATTTGACTTTTGGTCAACCCCTATATTTCGATTATTTCATTATTAATATTAACTATATTGTTATTGTCATCGTCAATAATTTAACAATGTAAAGCCTGTCGGATATTTTAAGTGAAGATTGCTTGTTACAACAAAAGAGTGTCTGTTTTTAGATTTAATAGTCACAAATTAGTAAAACTGATTATCAAACTTATTCGGTCATTCGAATAGGTGTATACAGCTACATACTGTATCTGAATATTTATGTTCTACCGTCAAAATAACTGGTGAAAAAAGCTATCATTTAAACTATCCATCTCCATCTGCTCTATTTGGGTCAGTTTTTTCGTAGGCATTTTATACGGACTTAGGGATATTATTGTACCGTTGTCCCTTGACTATGTATATGTGTGTGCTTGTGTGTGTGTGTGTGTGTGTGTGTGTGTNTGTGTGTGTGTGTGTGTGTGTGTGTGTGTATATGTGTGTGTATATGTGTGTGTTTATGTGTGCATGTGTGTATATATGGTGTATGTGTGTATTGTGTTGAATTTTTCATGTTTTTTTAAACTTATATGTTGTTTTTAACTAAAGCTAGTTAAAGTATATTTTGTTGGTAATAAAGAATTCAGTGGCTTTTATATCAATGGAAGTTAGTGAAAAATTTTATTAAATTCCGGAAGCCATAGTGAATTAATTACAGTTCCAACAAATTGTTTTTCAATCCATTCTCCTCTCTTTACTTCATTATTATATTTTCGTAATCTTTACTACCTTTGTTTGTTGCTATAAGTTTGAATAGTAAAGGGAACAGCAGGCGAAAGATGGACATTTTGTAATGACACAGCAAAGCTCATCGCACATATTTATACATACATAATTGTGATTAATAGTATTGTTAAACATGATTTGTTAGCTTTTACTACATTGTTCAATTTTATTAGTGCTCATGAAAGATTGTTTTCATCAGTTATATGCAGATATTACGCCACCAGTATGCTATTATAGCTTGTACATTCAGTTTCAGGCATTCATTGATTTTGGGGTACAAAGCGAATTAAATTATGAATGAAAAGAAGGATTACTATAATAGTGTTGACTGATTCTGTGAAGAATTATGTGTAGCCGATGTTCTGGTGATGATCTTGTAAGGAATTCCAATGCAAAGAAGCTAGCATGCATCATCCGATGTGATTAAAAATTATGTAAGCTTTCCATAATTGTGCAAAAGAGAAAAAAAAATAATTGGCGCTGATGGAAAGATAGCACCAAAACCAAACAGAAAAAAAATCTAAAATACAGACAAAAGCTGTTATTAAATAATAAAAAAAGAAAAGGCAATCCCATGAGAATGACTCGGATATAGTAAATGTTCTTGTCCCTTCAATAAAAGAACATTACTATCTCTAAAAGAGAAGTATATCCCAACTGAAATGATTTTGATACATTAGAGGATCAAAAAGAAGGGAAATCAAGAATCAAAGGTCCAATTATTAAAAGGGTAAAAATAGTCTCTTATAAAGAGGTGGATTAAGATATTATTTCAATATTAATAAGATTAAGAGTGGATTCCAATTAAAAAACATGAATTGGTATTATACTGCTCATAGGAGGCATAACCGTGATCAGGATATTACAGACATATATCGTCCCATTCCAAACAAATTCTAAAATGAAGTGGGAAAGGATGCGATACAAATCATTCGAAGGATGAGATACTTCAAAAACACGAGAGTTTGAGAGAATTTGAAGATTTCATATCTTTCAGTATCAGCTAACATGGAAGTATCAATGGAAGTTGAAGAACTCGCAAAATAGCGGTGCTGTTTGACACTGAAAGGTATGAAATCAAATATGAATAACGCAGAATCAGCTGTCCCGGAACAACCAGTAGTATTTAATATATGCTTTTTCATGTTACAGCAGATTGCAAGTATCCGGCCTAGTTTGGGCATTTTGTGAAATAATTTACCACCTTTTATGCCTTGTTCTAGTATACGATGCAAGTCTGTCAATTCATTTTACTCATTTTACTTTTATTAGTAGCAATCACAAATTATTACCGCTAAAACCAAATGCCAAAAAAATCACGAAATTATTGAGAAAACACGTAGTAACTCCAAGTTTTGTTGTGGTTTCTTATCTCCTGCATATCTTGTTTTTAATTTACAATTTCTAATTTAAATATATTAAAAAATATTTCTATGATTAGCCTTATTTTTAAAATAAGTTGCTGACAGATGCAATAATGTAATATTTAAAAACTGTAGTGATTTTTTCAAAAGTTAACTGAAGCATGCCATTTCAAAGTTTATTTATGTCAAGATTGTTACTTATTCACAAGTATTGTTTTTATGTTAAAATCTTAATAGATTTATTCTGGCTTCCATGCATGATTTCTGAAGTCGCTTTTAAAGTCGCTCGCCGTTGGATGACAGTAATATTGTACAAAAAAATTTCACATTGCTTATGTTGCTTAAAAATTGTCATTTTTATTATTTTATAATAAATTCCAAAGCATAAATTAAAAGAAATGATCTCATTGTTGAACTTCACTTTTCCAGGAATTCTTTATTGAAACATCCATAAATTTGTCACAAGTAAATGAATGATACTGGATAAGGTTTACTGTCTATGTTTAGATTTTTTAAATCAAAAACATTAAATTAGTTATTTGATAATAGCTGTCTATTATGTCTGGATGTTTGGATGTTTAACAAATTATCTATCTTTCATAATCATCCCGAATTTTAATCTAATCTAATCAAAGTCAATTAGTAATTCAAATTAATTAACAGTAACAAATTAGTTCATATAATAAAATTTAATCGACAAATAACATATATCAATGAAACACTATTGGCGTGTTATCGCTCATCAGTTTCTATATGTTTCCGGATCCAATCTAACGCTGATAAAAAAATCGTAAACTCTGATACATTTCATTCGGAATTTACAAAGATACATGGAACACAAAATGTTGAAATGAAAAGGAATTAATCCACGCATTTTATTTTTTGAACCTCCAAATAGGTTGATTTGCTTCAATAGTGAATATTTGTAACTGAAATGACATCAAAAGTGGAAACGAATATAGAAATGCGAAGTGAACAATAATTTTTGCAACGTTATTTAGACAACAAACGATATGACGACAAAATTATTTATTTATTCGCGGAAATCACTGAAATTAAAGTTATTATCTATTGTTGTTGATTTATTGTCAAAATTTATGCAAAGGAATCACTGACAATTTATAACGATAGATGAAGATAACTTGTTCGAGGTTTTTTGTTCTACCATCACTGAGCTCTTTCAGAGCCCTTTTACTGTGAAGGAACACTTTCAATTTGTTAAATATTAGTTAATGCTCCAAATCTTTTGATGTAAAAGATATTGGTAGCAATTGTGAGAGCTGCATTTCTTTTCGTTTATTGGACATTGACGTCGTCATTATTACCTGGAAAGAATTAATAAATCAACTAGTTGGAACGTTTTTCAACTTTTTTTATTAATATACCCAATGTAAAACATTGTCCTATTTGGTTGTACTACGCAAGCATAACGTTTGTTGTATAGGAGGACTATCCAACCAAATGAATTTTGCGATTTGCGCTTGAATATGGAAAAGGAAAAAAACACACTTTCATGTCACCAAATTCAATAAGAAATTGTCGACAAATTCCACAAGGAGCACTGGGTTCAGCTGCTGCTGTGCACACTGCGATTACTCGAAATTCTCGATGTCCTTCAGCTATGGCTCGCACCACTGCGCTTTGTTCCGCACATATTGTTCCACCATAAGATGCATTCTCTACATTTCCTATAATCTTTTCAAATATTAATTCATTACTTTAAAAGGAGATATGTGGCTAGCAATATGAATGGATAATTGTCGTTTGAGGCTTTTTGAAAAAAGAAAATACCTCCCGTAATCACTTTGCCATCTTTGGTCAACAAAGCGGCACCCACAGTAAAATTGCTGTAAGGACAATAGGCCCGATCCATAGCAAGTCGAGCGGCAGTCACCAAGGCATCTATATCGATACTCATTTCTGTAATTTACGTATATAGGCAGATTATGTTGCATAAATTTTTTGATTGAGTAGATTTTTTCGAAGGTTTATTTTCCATGGAAGCAGTAATACAATATGACAGTTTGTAATTTATAGCGGCGAAAATTTTTTAATTATTCAGATTGAAATAATTGTTTATAGGTAATGGCGCAGCAGAAAAGACTGTGATGTGGATGGTGAGACAGTAACACTGTATATTGAGAGGCTACTCGGGAGCACTTGATGTAGTAAATAATTTTGCACTTGAAAAACGAAGTGATGACCAGCAGTCATTTGACAGATGGAACGAATTGCAACAACGATCACGAATAGATAAAGTCAATGATCGTCTCGTCCTTCATGCAATTTGTCACATCTTCCGGCTTTCGCGACAGACGACTGTTTTTGCGTATAGCTATTTTATTTTGATTATTTCGTGAGTAAAACTATCACTGCAAGTTATGTTCCGTTATCACCGTTATCACTTCATCTTTAGTGTTCCTCTCGTATACAACCAGCTACTATAGTACAGAATTGAATTTGTGAGAACAGCATAGTGATCAATTATTTCATGTAAATGATAAAGAAAGACGAGAACAAATAGTATGAAGTAAACGGCTGGAGAAAAGATTTTATGGGATGAGTTTTTTTGTGAACTGTTTGCGCTGTAAACGAGAACAGTTAAGGGATAATTGTGACGTTGTACTTTCTTATAGGTGGCCAATTTATCATTTCCACAGCTCATATCCGTCTGTCAGAAATCATCATAATTTTGTCTTAAATCATTCCGGAACTAAATAATCCAGCTGTTGCATATTTCAGGTTTACAACTGGGAATTGTTTTGGAACTGCTGGCAATATTTGAATTTTTTTAATTTTATTCAAAGAATATCTTTTGTTGACATGAATTGTGCGAACAATAAATGATAGTAATGCTTGCTAAATGAACAAAATTACCGATTAAAAAGTTTTAGCCGGTTAAAATGAACAGAATGAAATTACCAAATGGGAAAGTTATCTAAAAAAATGACACACGAAGGACAATTTCAGATATCCATAGATTCTTTACTTGGCGAAATACTTTTATATG